AAAATATATATAAAATTATACGGTTTCATAACCATGACATATCAGAATCAGAATGTTTCTCATTCTACACAATATGTCGGAGGTTACAAGCAATATTAAATTCGCCACCTCTGATTTATAAGAGAGTTTACATAGGTCGTTGGCCACCTCATTTGTTTTTATATTTCCTTCCATGCAATTACACAGTTTCCTCTTGTAGATGAATCTTTCAAACGCCGTCGTTTTATCTGCTTCCCAGATCACAAATATGTCCACTTCGGCTGGGAAACCCCCCCTTCAGATTAAGGGGGTGTTTGGATAGAAACCAAACCATGGTTTCAGAAGTGCTTTTACGGATTACGAAGTAAATATGTAGAGGAGGTTACCTCGTTTTGCGGAAAAGTGATTCTAAAACCTAGGTTTTGGTTTTGCCAAACACCCCCTAACGCTTTCTTTTCATTCGGCCAACATTCGATTGGTAATATAATCATTTGAACCAAGATTTTTTTAATGTTAGATAATTGATTTTCCATCATCTACTAATATTGGAAATTTCACAATAGATAATTTAAATTTAATATTTTATTAATTATTTTTTTCCTATTTTCCGTTATTACAATTATGAGCCATGCAGATGCATGTCAAATATTAAGTATTAAACTTGAATCATTCATTTTTTTCATAATAATTGAATCATTCATTTTTTTAAATCTAAAAGTGGATTTGAGATTGTGAGGAAAAAAAGAAGAAAGAGAAAAAAGAAAATAACCTGAACCCATTGTATTATACCAAGTCTGAGAGATTTTCAATTTAACTTGTGAATAGTATAATTTATTACTCCTCCGGTCCTAATTATAAGACCCAATTGACTTATTTGAGGAGATTAAGGAAGTAAGTTAAGTTGGTTATTTATAATAAATAAGTGTTGTCATTCCTAAAATATCCTTGCTAATTAAGTATATTGGCTAAAAGTATCATTATTAGAAGGATTATCTTGGAAAAAAAATGCATAAATATAAGAGACAAAATGGATTGGGGTCTTATAATTAGGACCAAATAAAAAGTCAAATGGAGTCTTATAATAAGGACCGGAGGAGTATAAATTTAATGATATTGGAAGGGAAATTTATGGATTTTGTTAATATTAGTAAAAATGAGCACTTTTTAATCAACTTAGAATTGGTCACCTCCACAGAGTTAATGAGTAGGATGAATCAATAATAATGTCCGTAAAAAAATTGAGAAAGAAATAAAAAAAATTCTTAATAATAATTTTGCATGATCACCGTGAACACGCAAACATGCTTTCCTCTCCAATTATCATGAAACCACATGCACGAAGTTTTATCGTATACTACAAGCTCAATTAGAAGTAGATGATGCCTGAGGCGAGGGCGGCGAATCGGAGTGTAGATGCGTCGCTGGACCCTGAAGCAGTAGAATCGAAGGCACCGGGAGGCACAGGTCCGCCCATAGGAGCGGCGACGACGCTGTCAGGGGAATCGGCAGCTTCTAGGACTCCAATGGCTCCTTCGGTCGGAGGCTCGGCGAGGTCGGCCTTGGAGTTGTTACCACTAGAGGAAGACGGAGCTGGAGTGGAATTGGTTGCCACGACGGCAAGCCTGAACGACGGTGATCAAGAGGAAAGCGAGGACCACAACCTGACGAGCACTTTCATACTTTAGGGAATGAGATATAAGCACATTTATTATCAATTTATAATTAAATAATTTACCAAATTTTTTTAACCCACCTAAATTAATTATCGAGATAAAACTCTTCTCATATATATTATAAAATTACTTTTAAAATTATGATTTTGTTTCTACTCAGACACTCCTAAAAATGAAAACATTAAAATTATGAGGAGAAGAAAAAGTAATAGGTTACTTTTACATGACATCTTATCATTTGGACGCAAAAATAAAGTCTTCTCTATAAGACACATTATGTACATACCGAAGAAGGGATCATGCATCAATATATATGCATTAATTCTATCTTGTTGTTTCTCTTCGGTTTCTCATAAAATTTTAGCATATGCTCGCTCTTGCCCATAATATAAGTAATTTTTATAAAAATTTATTGGTCTACAATATACTCCTTATTATAAATGAACAATATTTGACCGTAAATATAAGTAATCAATTCACTCAATAATTGCTATTTTGCAAACCTACTCTTATTGCTGGTAAGGAAAAAAAACCTACTCTCATTATTAATTACGTTTAGTGTTAATATGGTCATCAGACTCCGTATTTCTCTATCTATTACATCATTTAAGTTGGAAATAAACTTGAAAAAATTTAATTCAGGACAAGTTTAATACTAGCTCCGATTCTTAATATAAAACATAGTTTGACTTTTATTTTGGTTCTAAATATAAGACCTCGATTCCTTTCCTGAATTGGATTAGTCGGTTGCTAGGATATTTAGTTATAAGATCCAGAAAAAAACTAAAACTTTGAGGCACATCAATTTCGCTGTATCTCATGTTATGACCATACACTTTGGTACTTAATTGGAATGGCAGTAGAATTTTTTTGAAGTAGTTTTTCAGTCTTGATTACATACCACGTAAATAGATGGGGGATAAATATAACTGGCTCGTATAGACGTTGCTTCTTTTGCACTTCAACTTTTAGTTGAACCACATATTCTTTCCCACAAAGGTTGTCTCAATTACACTAATTAAATTTGGCGGGGAAAATGTGTTAGTTTTAATTTTTCATTTCTGTAATTTTGCCAGATTGATGCGAAAGCAAGATGCTGAAGTAGTACTTAATTAACTAAATATTTATAAAGAGCAGAAAAAGAATAAAAAGAAGTAAAGAACACGTAAAAATAGTGTCATGTCTGTACGCACATTTCATTAACTGTCACTCTAGAATGAATCTTTTCCAACACGTAGGAAATAATATTAAAAACATTTTTAACAATTTATGAGATTATTATCAGTCCAATCCTAAACATAGGTGCTAATTTAGAATTAATTTTGGTTTTAAATATAATATTTTAATTCATTTTATCTTTCATATTTATTATTTTTTTAAAATAGTTTAATTAATTTATAAATTGATCTATAATCTGATGTTGCACAATCATATTTTAGGGAGTGAAATATAACCACATTTATTATAAATTTATAATTAAATAATTTACCAATTTTGTTAACCCACGTAAATTAATTAAATGAATATTCATTTTAGGAGGTGTTCAGTTTCTCCGAAAGTGCTTAAAAGCACTTTCATTCAAGTCGAGATAAAACTTTTCTCACATATTATAAAATTATTTTTAAAACCATACTTTGGTCTCCATTCAAACACTCTTAAAGATGAAAAGAACATTAAAATTATGAGGAGAAAAAAAGTAATAGATTATTTTTACATGACACCTAATATTTGGACACAAAAATAAAGTCTTCTGTATAAGACACATTATATACCGGAGGGATCATGCATCAATATATGCATTAATTCTATCTTCTTGTTTCTCTTCGGTTTCTCATAAAATTTTAGCATATGCTCTCTCTTGCCCATAATTTAAGTAATTTTTATAAAAATTTATTGGTCTACAGTATACTCCTTATTATAATATATAGGATTTTAAGAACAATATCTGATCCTAGATATAAGTCATCAATTAACTTAATAATTACTATATTTCAAACCTACTCTTGTTTCTGGTAAGGAAAAAAAACATACTCTTGTTACTAATTACATTTAGTGTTAATATGGTCATCAGACTCCGTATCTCTCTATCTAGTGCATCATTTAAGTTGGAAATAAACTTGAAAAATTTTAATTTAGGACAAGTTTAATACTACCTCCGATCCTTAATATAAAATGTAGTTTGATTTTTATTTTGATCTTAAATATAAGATTTTAATCCACTTTGTCTTTTATATTTATGCATTTTTCTCAACGCAGTTCTCCTAATAATGGTAACTCTAGCCAATACACTTGATTAATAAGGATATTTTAGGAAAGACAACACTTATTTATTACAAATAACTAATTTAACTTATTTCTTTAATTTTCTCAAATTAGTGAACTAGCTCTTATAATTAAGACCGGAGGTAGTACTTTAACTGTTATTATTTCTTTGTATGTGAGAATTAGGGAATATTTGGGCAGAAACCAAATCATTATTTTAAAAATAATTTTACAATTTATGAAGTAAGCATGTGAGAGAAATTTTATTTCGATTTACATGAAAATATTTTTTAAAAGTGTCTTTGGGGATTTTCAAACACCGTCTAGTTCAAAATACCTTATAGAAAAGACTAGAAGGAGTAAACCATTTAGAGAATAATTCATTTTTATTTGTCAATTTTGCTTCTATAATTAATACTTAAATATTTCTTTTTATACTCTTCTGGTCCTTAGTATAATACCCATTTAATTAATTTGATTAAATTAAAGAAGTTCGGTAAGTTAGTTAATTATAAGAAATATAACATGTTTTTTCTAAAATACCATAATCATTTTCTTTAATATCTTCTCTCCCTCTTTTACTTGATTATGGTTGAAGGAGATCTATAGAGGTAATTTAGGAAAAATTAATAAATATGAGAAATGGGTCTTATATTTAGAACCAAAATCAACTCAACAATTAGATCTTATATTAAGGACCGAAGGAGTTTTTTTTTCCTCCTTCACGGCGTCATTTAATATGAATAAATTTGAGACTGATTTAACAAACCATTATTCTTTAATTTGGTTTTAATGAAATGGTTAAAGTGAATTGTACAGTGAGGATGGGGAATATCAGCTTTGCCTGTAGGGGCACGCCACTTGTGTGAGGTATAAATATAATGCTTTCTGCTTTCAATTATTCTTGCCTCTTAAACACTTTAATTTTTAACCTTTATTCAGATTAACGCTATCCCCAAACCCCCACCTATATACATATATATATTTATTTATTTATTTTCAGATCTGAAGCTAAATACAAAAGTGATCTCATTGTGCTTTTGTGTGTCTTGATCACTTCATTCATAAATTCTTACTATTGACCAAATGGATTCTCCATGTCCACTTGGTTATCAAGAGAGCAGCAGTGATGAAGGAAGAACAACCTTAGCTCTTCGCATGGAGACCAGGAAACTATCACGGTTCATATCGCGGCGTAAACGGGACAAGGCAGTTGAGTTATGTACGCGCAATCCGAGGCTCCTGAGACAAGGGATGACGAACTCGAAGGACACCGCCTTGCATGTGGCCATCAACGAGAACAAAGTTGACGTCGTGGAGAAGTTGATCGGTATAATCGAGGGTAAGAAAACAAACCAGGCTCTGATAGCACAGAATAAGAAGGATGAAACCCCTCTGCATTGCGCGGCCGCGAGAGGGTCCGTGCGAATGTGCGAGCTGATCCTCCGTGCAGGAAGCAACATGGATGAGGATCTGCTAGGTATTCCCAACAAGTGGAATGAGAACCCGATATTCGTCGCGGTTGTCCATAACCGTAAACTAGCCTTCATCTACCTCTACGATGCTGCATGTAAAAAAGGAGAAGACCCATGGGATTTGTACCGATACTTGGTTATTAGAGACCCCTATGGTAGAGGTACTCATGCAAATACTGTGCTTCACTCGGCCAGTAGGAGAGAGCACTGAGGTGAGCATCACTATCTCTCTTTTTTTTCCAAAAAAAAAAAAGAAGTGAGATTCAATCTGCGATCCGTGACTTCTATGTCAATAAGTTATAAGGCCATTACTGTTAGTGGCTCCTGTGACGGTATATATATGTATTGATTATTTTATATAGATTTGGCATTCTACATCATCAACAAGTGCCCAGAGCTTTCGCAAAGCTTCAATGCGAAGGGAGTGAGTCCTCTTGAGCTGCTGGCCAGAACACCTTCTGTGTTTTGAAGTAGCTACAACCTTTCCTGGTGGAAACATAACATATACTTCTGTAAGTGTGTGTGTGTGTGTGTATCAATATTACTTGCTCGGATTCAATTACATTTGGCCATGTGTTGTATTGAAAAATTTGATATAACATATATAAGGAACTTAACATAAATATCATGCTTCTCTCTCTCTCTCTCTCTATCTGTGTATATACTATATATATTCTCCCTTGTTCAACTTGATAGGTGGGTGGTGTGAATTATTGATAATAAACTGACTAATTAATTTTTCCTTTTTGGTGGCTAGCTAGGTATACAAGTTGATCCACTGAAGTATGATCCTAATCCTACTTCTAAAACAAGTCCAGGTCGTAAAAGCTCCAACATTTTTAGTCTGCGTTCTGCCCATAAAAAGCAAGGTATGTGTTGCGCATGCACGGTAAGAGGGCCCCGAACTCTCCTTCCCTCTCTTTTCCTCACTCCTTAGTTATGTGATGACATGACTCTTAAAGACGGTGTTCTCTTACACAACTCGAACCATATATTTTATATTTTTTACGCGGGTATGTTTTCCAGTTGATCATGATTTGGATCCTCTTCATTTATATATTTATTAATTTCTCTATCAGTGTCACGATCGTAATTTATGCAAAATTAAGTACATATGAGTTATATAAATAGTTTAATTTTTTTAAAAAAGATTTTGTACAATTTATTTGGTTGTCATCTAATCATCATGTATCTCTATCTGATCCAGCAGACAAAAAGGAAGAAGCGGAACCAGTGATGAACCCAAAAAACTCAGTTGCTGAATTTCCGATGTTTGCTGAATTTGGTGGTAATTCATTTTCCCCTTCCCACCAAACTCGTATCGATCATGCCTGGGGTTGGTGTGCCTCATTACCAAAGAGAAAAAGTAAATTAACAACTAAATTTAGTGATGAAATTTTTGTTACTAATGAATTTAATTAGTAACGGAATTTCGTTACTCATCAATTAGCGAAGGGCTTTTATATAACAAAATTTGAAAATTTCATTACTAATTTGTTGTTTTTTAATGTCCATTAATTTCTTCTTTTTTTTTAACGTACCTCTTGTGGTATATGTACCCTATACACTTTATTTTATTATCTATTCATTTTTTATTGAATGTAATCTACTACACAAAATAAAGATATTTTGATTTCTTGTTGGTAGCTCATTCCATACTCATTAAAAAGGAGAGTGTTTATCATAATATGAACCATTCCAATTAATTTTGAATGGTTCAGATTCAATTTTTTTAAAATATTTTATTTAAAGGAGAAATCTAAAAAAGACCTTGAAAATAAAAAAATTATACATAGGGACTCATTACAACATTAGTATTAGTTTTGACAATGATTGATAAACAATTAACGATAATTTTATGAACGGGTCTTTGTATGTAATTTTTTAATTTTGAAGGTCTTGTTTTGTAATTTTTTTTTATTTTAATAGCTTCATGATTTAAAATATATAATATTATAATTGACACTTCAATTTATCAGTAAGAATTTTAAATCTCAATCAGTCTGGTGAAATATTATTTAATCATGTCTAGTAAATTAATAAAAAGAATTGCTTGGTTGATTTCAAAATGATGATTGAATTTAGTATATAATATATTACTGGAATTAAATTAATTAATTAATTAATAGTGGGCAGGTGAGGATCCCATAGACAAGGTTGAGAACATAACAAATAGAGCCCTGTTGGCAGCAGCAGAGACAGGTGTGATAGAAGTAGCGTATAAGATTCTACGAAGATTCCCAGGAATCATCCCTGAAGATACTGTGGGATCAACGAACAAGAATATATTGATGGCGGCTGTAGAGAATCAGCAGACAGAGATATTTGTGGCACTTCGACAACTTATGGTTATGCCATGCAGGTGCAATGTGAAGTGACGTGGTACGAGGTAACTATATATAGTACCCACTCCGCACTTTTAACTAATTCTCACGTATTGATAAATGACCATTTATAAAATTCAATCTCCTTCTCTCTCTCTCTTTTTTAATGGAAGTTTATGTGAGTTGGATTTTAGAGACTCGTTAGGGTCAATATATGCCTTTAGGTTCAAAGATCTAAATTAAACTCATGACTTTAGGGGTGTTTGGCATTCTCAAAACCGCAGTTTCAGAAGCACTTTTCCGCAAAACGAGGTAACCTCCTCTACATATTTATTTCGTAATCCGTAAAAGCACTTCTGAAACCATGGTTTGGTTTCTATCCAAACACCCCCTTTGTGGATTATACATCAAGTACTTCTTACTAATGGGCTTTGTTAAAAATGTGTCCTTGTCTTTTTATTATGAATTTTTCATATTTTCTCGTGGATAAGTGATGCTCCCTCGTGTCCTAAATAGGCATGCTAGATAACTGGTTGAAAAATTAGTCAAATTAATTATTTTGTAAAAAACAATTATGCTAGTTTCTCTATAATACCCTTTTGATTATTATCCCATTAATAAAAACCCCTTTTTCATATATGCAATTAGTAGGAAAGATTTGGAAAAAATTTAAAATTTATAAATTCAGAATAGACAAAGTGAATTAAGCTATTATATTTAAGATCAAAACAAACATTTCAACTATTTTTTTATATTTAGGACTAGACACAGTACAAATCAACTGGTCATTTTGGAAGGTATATTAACATTTAACTAATTTTATTTATTTATTGTAATCTCATTAGAGAACATAGTTAATAAGTACTCTTCTGATCATTAATGTAATATCTAATTATTGAGTTGATCTTAGTTTTAAATATAAGACTTATTTCTCATATTTATCAATTTTTTTTAAATTATCCTATTGATACTTCCTTAACCATAATTAAGTAGGAGAGGGAGGGAAGATATTTATTGAGAAGATACTTATGGTGTTTTAGGAAAAAGCATATCATCTTTTATATAGTTAACTAACTTATCTAATTTTTTTAATTTTATCAAATTAGTTAAATAGGCCTTACATTAAATCGAAGGAGTATAATAAAAAGAATGAGAGGGAGTAGATACCATACGGGTAGACACACATACACACATGCTGTCTCATGGAGTAATACTTCCTTGACTCTTTTTTTAATTTACGAGACAAATTAACATACTTTACACAAATAAAGAAATTTAGTTGAATATCTTTAAAGTAATTTCATTTTTTCCAAATAAAATTATTACTTAATATATATGCGAGCATGCATTCAAATTTATTCACTTAATTAAATTGCAGTATGTGAAATCATTTGTGCCCTCCCACTACCTTTTCCTTAAGAACGAAAAAGACGAAACCCCGGCACAAATCTTCACTAGAGACCACAGAGGTCTGGTGGAAAAGGGCAACACATGGCTTAAGGACACATCTCAATCTTGCTCGGTGGCGGCGGCGCTGGTGGCCGGAGTTTTGTTTGCGACGTCGAGGTCCATCCCCGGAAGCATTGACGCCAAGGGCAAACCAACATTAGAAGGACATCCCGCGTTTCAACTTTTCGCCATCAGCGGACTCATAGGACTCGGATTTTCCGTCACGGCGCTCATCATGTTCCTCTCCATACTTACATCTCGAAAACAACCCATAGATTTCAAAAGGGGTCTGCCATTAAAGCTTCTTCTGGGTTTAAGCTCATTGTTTGTGTCCATTGCTTCCATGTTCATATCTTTCTGTGCTTCACATTTCTTCGTGCTTGAGGACAAGTTCAAGAAAGGAATCTTCCCTCTTTATGCCGTCACTTGTCTTCCTATTTCATTCTATGCCATCGCACAGTTTCCTCTTTACATGAATCTTATGAAAGCCATTGTTAAGGACGTTCCCCAATCCCAAAAATATGTCCAGTTGTGATTGATTAAATCTTTCATGTTGTTATTTTTCTTCACAGATTTTGCGATGTTAATAATGATTGCTTTGTGTTATTGGTTCTGGCTTGTATTTGTGAGTCTCATGAAAAAGAGCAACCTCACATATATGGATATGGATCCTCTCTATTTACAGTCGTTTGAATTTGTCTCAATTCTGAATAGTACTTGTTCGATCAATCTTATATATTACCTTCTTTTCTTAATATAAAAGTTAGTTTTACATTTAGTTTAATCTTAAATTCGACATTCAATTTGATCTAAAATATAAGATTTTAATATACTTTATGCCTTATATTTATCAATTAGGGGGATTCAATTACACCACAAACACACACACACACACACAGGTGATCTATTTAAGAAATTAATGACCCTGTATAATACTTGTGTATACCATACGTGTCTCTTTTACTAAAATTGATTATAAATCTAATTAAGAAAAAAATTGCAAGTATTCATATTTTCATCGACAGCGATAGATGTATACAAGTAAGCCCCATTTGGTGTTATTGTTACTCGTGTTAGTATATCAGGCGTGATGTCAGTATATATTTGATTCTTTATGTTCATATTAATTTTTCATTTGTCTCTTAATAAATTTATACAGTGTATTTCTTGTCCTTCAATCTTAATATCGTTAGTTTTATATATCTAACAAAAAATGATGACTCATCAAACTTAAGTGATAACATGTGCAATTAAACGCTGATAAAGCGTGGTTGCATTTTGAAATTTTAATATAATATTTTTATATTTTAAAGCTTGATGAGTCAGCAAAGATTAAAAGATTAAAAAAAACACTTTAAAAGACATTTAAGGGGGGTGTTTAGTGTGATTGTGCCACAAGGTTTATGGCTATCTAGGATAATTATTTGAATTTTTTTTTTGCCACAATTATTTGAACTATTTAGTTTATAGACATTTCATTTCTATATGATTCTATCATTTTTATTGTGCACAATACTCATATTAAATTTTTTATATTTATTATGTCAAATTCTTCAATCCACTTCCCCACAAGGCAGAGAGAGATGCATTTTAATTTTTACCCATTATTTCTGTATTTTCTCACATAAAATATTTCGCACTTCCCAATTGAATAATTGATCATTGATCAAAAGTGATAGCTTTTTTTTTTTCACTGATGAATAATAAAACATGTGACACTTTAAATGCAATACCATGTGTCTTGATAAAATAAAAAAAAGTGGGGGGCATCGATTGCTAAATATTATTGAGTTTTAAGGTGCTGGTAGTTACTCTTTCCGGGAAATAATTTAGGAACAAAAATTCTCTTTGAACTAAAATCAATATTATGAAGCTAAGTCAAAGTCAATCAAGAAACAACATTACAACGATTTTGACACTTAAAAATGACATTGCTCTGGTAAATAGTCTATGGTGGCCAATACTCTTCTCAAAATGGTCTAAAAGCAATAACATATATTAACCCACTAATAAAGAGTTGGTCTAATATTGTCGGTTTCATTAGATTTTTTTGAGTCTCGAGTTTAAGTCTCGGACGAGACATCTTTGTATGGATGGAAAGCCACGATTTTGAAATTATACTAGTCAGTTTCTCAGATACCTAGTAATAAGACCTTGAGACACATCAATTTCATTGTATCTCATGTTATGATCATACACTTTGGTACTTAATTGGAATGGCGGTAGATTTTTTTTAAAGTAATTTTTCAGTCTTGATTAAATGCCAAATAAATGGACGAGGGAAGTATTCTCTCAATTTTGGGTAAATATAATAACTGGCGCATATAAACGTTTGCTTCTTTTGCACGTCAACTTTAGGTTGAGTCACATATTCTCTCCGGCAAAGGTTGTCTCAATTAAATTTGGCGGGGAAAATGTCTTGGAATTAATTTTTTATTCCTGTAATTTTGCCAGATTGATGCGAAAGCAAGATGCTTAAGTAGTACTTAATTAATTAAATATTTATAAAGAGCAGAAAAAGAATAAAAAGAACACACAAAAGTAGTGTCCTGTCTGTACGCACATTTAAGTAATTGTCACTCTAGAATGAATCTTTTCCAGCACGTAGGAAATAATATTAAAAACATTTCTCACAATTTATGAGATTATTATATCAGTCTGATCTTAAACATAACTACTTTAAAATTAGTTTTGGTCTTAAATATAATATTTTAATTTATTTCATTTTTCATATTAATTATTATTTTTAACTATTTAAATTAATTTATAAATGGATCTACAATATGATGTTGCACAATCATATTTTAGGGAGTGAGATACAACCACACTTATTATAAATTTATATTAATTTACCAAACTTTTTTAATCCATCCAAATTAATTAAATAACTCTTTTGTTTTAGGAGGTGTTTGGTCTTTCCCTGAAAGTGCTTTTTAAAAGTATTTTCACATAAGTTGAGATAAATATCTTCTCACATATTATAAAATTATTTTTAAAACTATAGTTTGGTTTCCACTCAAACACCATTAAACGTGAAAGGAACATTAAAATTATGAGAAGAAAGAAAAGTAATAGATTGCTTTTACATGACATCTTATCATTTGGATACAAAAATGAAGTCTTCGATCTGTATAAGACTCATTATATACCGGAGTGCCCATGCATCAATATATGCATTAATTCTACGTTCTTGTTTCTCTTTGGTTTCTCATAAAATTTTAGCACATGCTTTCTCTTGCCCATAATATAAGTAATTTTTATAAACATTTATTGGTCCACAATATACTCCTTATTATAATTTATAGGATTTTAAGAACAATATTTGATCCTAGATATAAGTAATCAATTAACTCAATAATTGCTATTTTTCAAACCTACTCTTGTTCCTGGTAAGGAAAAAAAACCTACTCTTGTTATTAATTACGTTTAGTGTTAATATGGTCATCAGACTCCGTATTTCTCTATCTAGTACATCATTTAAGTTGGAAATAAACTTGAAATATTTTAATTTAGGACATGTTTAATACTTTAACTGTTATTATTTCTTTGCATTTGAGAATTAGGGAGTATTTGGTGAAACCAAATCATTATTTTAAAAATAATTTTACAGTTTATGAAGTAAGCTAACATTCAAAAGAAATTTTATTTCGATTTAGGTGAAATACGCTTTAAAAGTGTTTTTGGGATTTTCAAACACAGTCTAGTTCAAAATACTTTGTAGAAAAGACTAGGAGTAAAACACTCAGAGAATAATTCATTTTTATTTGTCAATTTTGCCTCTATAATTAATACTTAAATATTACTTTTTATATTTTTTTTCTCTTTCACGGTCTCATTTAATATGAATAAATTTGGGGGGCAAAAATAAATTTGAGACTGACTTAATAAGTTAACCATTATTCTTTGGTTTTGATGAAATGGTTAAAGTGAATTATACTGTGAGGATGGGGAATATCAGCTTTGCCTGTACGGGCACGCCACTTGTGTGAGGCATAAATGTAATGCTTTCTGCTTTTAATTATTCTTGTCTCTTTTTTTTTTTACCAGAATTATTCTTGTCTCTTAAACACTTTAATTTTTGGCCTTTATTCAGATTAACGCTATCCCCAAACCCCCACCTATATATGCATTTTCAGATCTGAAGCTAAATAAATTAGCACTCGAATTGTATTTTTGTGTGAGTGTCTTGATCACTTGATTGATAAATTCTTATTATTGACCAAATGGATTCTCCATCTCCACTTGGTCATCAAGACAGTAGCAGTGATGAAGGAGGAATCGCAGTTCTTCTCATGGAGACCAGGAACCTATCACGGTTCATATCGCGGCGTGATTGGCACAATGCAGTTGAATTATGCAAGCGTAATCCGAGGCTCCTGAGCCAAGGGATGGCGAACTCGAAGGACACCGCCTTGCACGTGGCCATCAACGAGAACAGAGTTGACGTCGTGGAGAAGTTGATCGTTATAATCGAGAGTACGAGAACAAAGCAGGCTCTGATAGCACGAAATAACAAGGGGGAAACCCCTCTGCATTGCGCGGCCGCGAGAGGGTCCGTGCAAATGTGCGAGCTGATCCTCCGTGCAGGAGACAACATGAGTGAGGATCTGCTAGGTATTCCCAACAAGTGGAATGAGAACCCGATCTTCGTCGCGGTTGTCCATAACCGTAAACGAGCCTTCATCTACCTCTACGATGCTGCATGGAAAAAAGGAGAAGACTACGGGGACTTATATCGATACTTAGTTATTAATAGAGGTACTGATAGAGATGCTGAGAGGCATACTGATGCTGATAGCGATGCTGATGCTGATAGGGATGCTGAGGCTGATAGAGATACTGTGCTTCACTCGGCCATTAGGAGAGAGCACCTACGTGAGCATCACTATCCTTTCACGTCTCTGTTTTTTCTTTTCCTTAAAAAATAGTGAGATTGAACTTGCGGCCTCCCACTTTTATGTCAACAAGCTTTGAGGCCATCAATGCTACTCTTCCGGTCCTAAATATAAGACCCCTTTCGTAGTGTCAGTCCTAAATATAAGACCCTTTTTATAGTATAATTTACACTACAAAATGAGTCTTATATTTAGGACAGGATTGGAAGAGTATTTTATATTCATCAGTTGTATTTAGTGGCTGCTGTGACTATATATATGTGTTGATTATTTTATATAGATTTGGCATTCTACATTATCAAAAAGTGCCCACAGCTTTCGCACGAATTCAATACGAAGGGAGTGAGTCCTCTTGAGCTGCTGGCCAGAACACCTTCCCTGTTTAGAAGTAGCTACAACCTTTCCTGGTGGAAACATATCATATACTTCTGTAAGTATGTGGGTGTGTATAATTACATCTTTATATATACATATCAATATTACTCGCTTGGATTCAATCACACATTAAAAATGAGGAGAATTACAATAAAGTCCTAAAAAAATAATTATAAAATAAATTTCAGAAGTTATCATTTCTTATTTTGGAACTTGTCATTATAAACTGTTTAGGTTATTATTAGAACTTTTTAGTAATTATATTTCTTTCTTGGGGCCTTATTGTAATTCTTCCTGAAAAATTTGACATAATATAAATATAAGCAACTTAGCCTAAATATTGTTCTTCTCTCTCTCTTAATTATGCACATATATTCTAGCTTATTAATTAACTAACTTGGTGCGTGGGTGGTATGAATTATTGATAAAAAATTGAATAATAAAATTTTCCTTTTGTTGGCGGCTTGCTAGCTAGGTATACAAGTTGATCCACTGAAGTATGATCCCAATTTTACTTCTAAAACAAGTCCAGATCGTAAAAGCTCCCACATTTTTTGTCCGCCTTCTGCCCATAAAAGGCAAGGTATGTTGCATGCATCGTAAGAGGGCACCGAACTCCCCTTCCTTCTCTTTTACTCAGTTATCCGGTGAAATAACTAACTAAGGACAGTATTCTCTTACCACAACTCAAATCACATGTTTTATACCTTTACATGTGTATGTTTGCCAATTATTCATGATTTAGATCCTCTTCATTTTCATATCTAATTTATCTATCAGTGTCTCGTAGTGTACGCAAAATTGATTAAGTTACATATGAGTTGTATAAAAATTTGAATTTTAACAACCGTACGTGAGTTATATAATTAGTTTAACCTTTTTAAAAAAAAAAAAGATTTTGTACAATTTATTTGGTTGTCATCTGATCCTCATGTCTCTCTATCTGATTTAGCAGACAAAAAGGAAGAAGCGGAACCAGTGATGAGCCCAAAAAACTCAGTTGTGAATTAAAAAAATTAATTTCTTAATAGTCTATTTTATTTAATTATCTGTATAATTGCTCCAACTAATTAAGTTTCCATATCAGTACTGTATATATGCTTGTTTAATTTCCTGTGAATATAAAATTAATGCATGCCACAGGGAACATATTCGCCAAGATAAAGAGGGTGAAAGAGAAGTATATATGGAGTCTTCAAATATTGGATCAACTTTTGGAAAATTACTGTAATGAAGAGATCATGAAGCATGCAATTGACCCTGAATCGGGTTCAGATCATGATGGACGATTTGAGATGTTTGCTAGGTTTGGTGGTAATTCATTTTCCCCTTCTCATCACCAAACTCATATCATACCTGGGGTTGGTGCGCCTCTCATTGCCAAAGAGAAACAGTAAATTAACAACTAAATTTAGTTTGGTGATGAAATTTTTTTTACTAGTGAATTTGATCAGGGACGAAATTTCGTTACTAATCAATTAGGGAAGGGCTTTTTTAATAACAAAATTTAAAATTTTCATTGCTAATTTGCTTTTTTTTTAACATCTGCTAATTTCTTAATTTTTTTTAATATACCTCTTGTGATATATGTGTATATATATATCCTACACATTTTATTTTATTTTCTATTCATATTTTATTGAACATAACCTACTAAATAAAATAAAGACATTTTGATTTCTTATTGAGAACCCACTCCATACTCATTAAAAGATGGGTGTTCATTTTAATTATGAACTATCTTTTGAATGGTTTGGATTCAATTTTTTTAAAAAAATGTATTTAATAGATGCAAAATTTAAAATATGTAAAATTATAACTGACACTTAAATTTATCGTTAAAAATTTTAAACCTCAACCGTTCTGGTGAAATATTATTTAATTATGTCTAATAAGTTAATAAAAAGAATGGCTTGATTGATTTCAAAGTTCAAACTCATGATTGAATTGAATATACAATATATTCCTGGAATTAAATTAATTAATTTAGTTAATTAATTAATATTGGGCAGGTGATGATCACATAGACAGGCTAAGGACATAACAAATAAAGCCCTGTTGGCAGCAGCAGAGACAGGTGTGATCGAAGTAGTGGATAAGATTCTGCGAAGATTCCCAGGAATCATCCCCGAAGATACTGTAGGTCGAACGAACAAGAATATATTGATGGTGGCTGTGGAGAATCAACAGGCAGAGATATTTGTGGCACTTCGACAACACTTGAGAAAAGTAACGGGGAAGCCTAACCTGTGGGACGACCTGGTTCATGCGGTGGACGATGAAAACAACACTATACTGCACATAGCAGCAAAGTACGATGAATCCTTGTCTCATGGTTGGCAAGCTTATGGTTATGCCATGCAGATGCAATGTGAAGTCACGTGGTACGAGGTAACTATAAATACCCACTCTGCACTTTAAAAAAAATAAATGTCCGTTTATAATGTTTTTGTCTTTTATTTTTTTTTAAATGAAAGTTTGGGCACAGATTGGATTCTAGAAATTCACACATGCCTTCATGTTCAAAAATCTAAAAAAAACTCATAACATTGTGAATTATGAGCAAACTCTTTGTAAACTAGATTAATCTTTGTTAGATATGTGTCTTTGTCTTTTTATTATGACTTTTCCATATTTTCTTGTCAGTAAGTGATGCTCCCTCAAGTATAACATGGGATAATTGATTGAAAAATTAGTTAAATTAATTATTTTATAAAAAAATTATATTGGTTTCTTTAAAATATTCCTTTTGATTGTTATCCCATTAATGAAAACTCCTTTTCAATGTATACAATTAGTAGGGAATAATTTGAAGAAAAAAATTATAAATTCAGGAGACAAATTAAAATTAAGCTATCTTATCACATTTAAAATCAAAACAAATTTTTATATTCAAGACCCGACAGAATACCAATTAAAGGGTCATTTTTGAAAGCATATTGACATTTAACTAGTTTTATTTAATTTTTTCAGTGTCATTAGAGTACGTGGTTAATAAGCATAATAATAAGACGATGAATGAGAGGGAGTAGATACCATGCACACAAATACCCTATGCTGTATCATAGAGTAATACTCCCTTGACTCTTTTTTTATGAGACATATTCACATACTTTACACAAGTAAAGAAATTTAGTTGAATATCTTTAAATTTATTTCATTTTTTTCAAATAAAATTATTACTGAATATATATGTGTGCATGCAAATAAAACAGTTTTAACTTAAACTATTAAATTGCAGTATGTGAAATCATTTGTGCCCTCCCACTATCTCTTCCTTAAGAACAGAAAGGGCAAAAACACGGAACAAATATTCGCTATAGACCTCAAAGATCGGGTGGAAAGGGGCAACGCATGGCTTAAGGACACATCTCAATCTTGCTCGGTGGCCGCGGCGCTGGCGGCCAGAGTTTCTGAGACGTCGAAGTCCATCCAGGGCAAAACCCCGGAACAAATATTCACTAGAGACCACAAAGATCTGGTGGAAAAGGGCACCGCATGGCTTAAGGACACATCTCAATCTTGCTCGGTAGTGGCGGCGCTGGTGGCCGGAGTTTCGTTTGCGACGTCGAGGTCCATCCCCGGAAGCATTGATGCCAAGGGCAAACCAACATTAGAAGGACATCCCGCGTTTCAACTTTTCGCCATCAGCGGACTCATAGGACTCGGATTTTCCGTCACTGCGCTCATCATGTTCCTCTCCATACTTACCTCTCGAAAACAACCCATAGATTTCAAAAGGAATCTGCCATTGAAGCTTCTTCTGGGGTTAAGCTCATTGTTTGTGTCCATTGCTTCCATGTTCATATCTTTCTGTGCTTCACATTTCTTCGTGCTTGAGGACAAGTTCAAGAAAGGAATCTTCCCTCTTTATGCCGTCACTTGTCTTCCTATTTCATTCTATGCCATCGCACAGTTTCCTCTTTACATGAATCTTATGAAAGCCATTGTTAAGGACGTTCCCCAATCCCAAAAATATGTCCAGTTGTGATTGATTAAATCTTTCATGTTGTTATTTTTCTTCACAGATTTGCGATGTTAATAATGATTGCTTTGTGTTATTGGTTCTGGCTTGTATTTGTGAGTCTCATGAAAAAGAGCAACCTCACATATATGGATATGGATCCTCTCTATTTACAGTCGTTTGAATTTGTCTCAATTCTGAATAGTACTTGTTCGATCAATCTTATATACTACGTCCTCTTTTTAATATAAAAATTAGTTTGATATTTAATTTAATTTTAAATTTAACATTTAATTTCATCTTAAATATAAAATTTGAATCCACTTTATATCTTATATTTATCCATTTTTTTGTCAAAATAGTCTTCATAGTAGTTGCATATGTTAAATATTTTATCAAATAATAGTTCTAACTAATACATATGATTAGTAAAGTATTTTAGAAAAAATAATACATATTTATTGCAAATAACTAACTTAACTAATTTTCTTAATTTACTCAAATTAGTCAACTATCTCTTATAATATTTCATATTAGAGGTAGTATATAATAGTTGCATATGTTAAATGTGTTATCAAATAATAGTTCTAGCTAATATAAATGATTAGCAAGGGCATTTTAGAGAAAACAATATCTATTTATCACAAATCTAGGTTTCCCAGTACCTGCCCCAAAAACCAATATCAAACTTCGTGGATGGCAATGGCCAATGGTGGTAGGAGCTCTTTTCTAATTCCCTCCCCACAGCTGTCAACCACATGATTGCTAGAACCCCCCACCCACACATGGGGATCAACAATTTGTTTTTGGGACCTAAATAAGGGGGAAACCTTCTCAGTAGCCTCGGCTTATAAATCCATTGAAGAAGACTCTTGGAACCCTGTTTCTAAGAATTGGAGTTTAATCTGGAAGTGGCCTTGGGCCTGCCGAACTCAATCCTTCATATGGCTGGCTTATAAAGGAAAGCTCCTCACGAATGTTGAACCAACCCACCGACACTTAGTTCTGAGTACGAACTACGAATTATGCAATGGAAGGCTGGAGGACATAAACCATATTTTCAGAGAATGCCCTCTAGTTGTCGCCTGTTGGAAGCACCTCATCCCCTGAGAGACACCTCAGCAGTTTCTTAGGGGAACCAATCGGCGACTGGTGGCCACATAACATAAGCCCACGCCGAGCCCACCAAACTTGGATCCTGAGATTTGGCATCCTCAACTGGAAGCTTTGGGAGGCTCAGAACAAGAGTTTGTTTACCGGGGAAGATTTTAGACCGGTTGAAATTATTGCTGTCACAGATGCCATCGTTAAACATACTACTAGAGCCATGGATCTTATAGCTTATATTAATTTTCCCACTTGATTTATGCTGTTTTTTAATTTTGTTTTTCCCTTTACTGTAATTATTCTGGACCTCCCTTGATTGGTTAATAGAATTTCCCTTTCCACTAAAAAAAAAATAGTTCTAGCTAATACACGTTATTAACAAAGATATTTTGGACAAAACAATATCTATTTATTACAAATAACTAACTTAACTAATTTTCTTAATCTACTCAAATTAGTCAATTATCTCTTATAATATTACATATTAGAGGTAGTATATAGCTTATTCATTGGACCTTAACTTCTAATGTTTAATGCTATTTAATACTCTTCCGGTCCTTAATATAAGACCTATTTAACTAATTTGATTAGATTAAAAAAGTTAAGTAAGTTAGTTAATTATAAGAAATATGAGATATTTTTTTTAAAACACTATAATCATCTTTCTTAATATTTTCTCTCTCTCTTCTATTTGATTATGGTTAAAGGAGTATCCATAGGGATAATTTAGAAAAAATTAATAAATATAAGAAATAGGTATTATATTTAGAACCAAAATTAACTCAATAATTAGGTCATATATATATTAAGGACCGAAAGAGTATAAAATGATAGATCACACAAATATGTCCATTTCGGCTGGGGAATCTCTTCCCTTTTCCTTTTTTCAGATTAACGCTTTCTTTTCATTTGGCCAACATTCGATTGGTAATATTATTATTTGAACCAAGATTTTTTTAATGTTAAATAATTGATTTTCCATCGTCTACTAAATTGAAAATTCCATAATAGATAACTTAAATTTCATATTTTATAAAACTATTATTATAATAATTTATAAATTAATTTTTTTTATTTGTCCGGTATTGCAATTATGAATCATGCAAGTCAAATATTAAATATTAAACTTGAATCATCCATTTTTTTTTATCTAAAAGTGGATGTGAGATTCTGAGGGGAAAAAAGGAGGAAAGAAAAAAAGAAAAAAAACATGGACCCATTGTATTATACCAAGTTTGATAGATTTTTAATTTAAGTTGTGAATAGTATTATTCTTCTAGTCCTTAATATAAGACCTATTTAACTAATTTGATTATATTAAAAAAGTTAGGTAAGTTAGTTAATTGTAAGAAATATGACATGTTTTTCCTAAAACACCATAATCATCTTCCTTAATATCTACTCTTCCTCTTCTACTTGATTATGGTTAAGAGAGTATCTATAGGAATAATTTAGGAAAAACTGATAAATATGAAAAATAAGTCTTATATTTAGGACCAAAATTAACTCAACAATTAGGTCCTATATTAAGGATCGGAGGAGGACTTCCCGTTTTAATATAAGACATCATTTGTAGTTTGGAAGTAAAGTCTTGTAATTAGGATCGAAAGTAGTATAATTTAGTATAAATTTAATAATATTGGAAGGGAAATTGATTGATATTGATTTTGTTAATATTAGTGAAAATGAGTACTTTTTAATCAGCTTCAACAAAATAAATGTAAGAATTGCTCACCTCCACAGAGTTAATGAGGAGGATGAATCAATAATAATGTCTGTAAAAAAAATTGAGAAAGAGATTAAAAAAAATAAATTCTTTATAACAATTTTGCATGATCACCGTGAACACGCAAACATGCTTTCCCCTCCAATTATCATGAAACTACATATGCACGAAGTTTTAGCGTATTCCAAGCTCAATCAGAAGTAGATGATGCCTGCGGCGAGGGTGGCGGCTCCGGCAACGGTGGAGAATCGGAGTGTAGATGCGTCGCTGGAACCTGAAGCAGTGGAATCGAAGGCACCGGGAGGCACAGGTCCGCCCATAGGAGCGGCGACGACGCTGTCAGGGGAATCGGCAGCTTCTAAGACTCCGATAGCTCCGTCGGTCGGAGGCTCAGCGAGGTCGGCGTCGGAGTTGTTACCACTAGAGGAAGATGGAGCTGGAGTGGAATCGGCGGCCACGAGGGCAAAAGCCTGAACGACGGCGAGCAAGAGGAAAGCGAGGACCACAACCTGACGAGCCATAGTTCTCTCCAGAACCGAAAGAGAACGAATTTAGAAGAAATAATTATTCCTTTATTGTTATTATTATTTTATTTTGGTTGTGGTTGAGATTATGAATGAGACAGGTTTGTTTATATAGGAAGTGGCGAAAACAAGAAATAAGATAAATGTTCCGAAGGGGGAGGGGGGCCACTGGTTAATACTGTGCGGTTATTATAATTTTAGGTTGGGATTACTATAATTAAGGGGCTTTGTGTTATTTTTGGCTTTGAAATTATATACATGATCTCGTGATAGAAATTATTTTACTATTATTATATATCCCAACAATGAAAAAATTAGTATTATTATTGGTTCTTTTTATAACAAATAATTTTCTTAAGACTAGTATAATTCAATATTAACTCTTACTGAATGTAGTAAATCCATAAGTTACTTTGATCGATGTCTAATTTTAAGAACTATATATTGCTAGTTAAAACAAAAAGAATTATATTGCAGGCAAAAAAAAAAAGACATGTGTCTCCTTGTTGCATATTTTGACCAAAATTATATATAAAATATTGAATATGTGTGTGTATATAAGCTGATGGTCTTTACCATCCTTCATAGCTTTCATTTTTTTTTTTGGCCTTGTTTATTATGCATAAAAGCTCCTCTGTTTACCTTTCTTCTCCTTAGTAGAAAACAGAGGCGAACCAAAAAAAGTTATTTGCCTCAATGATTTATTATGCTTTCTAAAGACGTTTGTTTTCTTTTCATCTCTTTTTGAAAGGATATCTACCTTCATGACCAATGATACTCCTTAGCACTCACTATCAATATCCATTCGCTATGTTTTTAAACTTCCATATAGAGTATCCGTTAAAATACAGAAGCCTTTGTGCTAGTTCATATATAAGAGTGAACTGCTCACTGACTCTCCTAAACATCTCCTGAATTAATGTTGAGTTCCCAATTTAAGTTGATGACGTCTTCAAATTCTTGCTCGGAACATCACACATACTGGACCATGCATTGTGAGGGATCCACTCTACAAAGCATTATGAATATATGGACTACATGCATTGTGGCCTGGGGGAAGAATTGGAAATCAATGGCAGGGTCTTCTATAGTGCTGAAAGAGAATGGGTTGCCAAGTCTAATCCACTCGTACACCATATTAGGATCTTTAATGATGCTTAATCTCAGTTTAACGTCTTGTAAACAGAAAGATTAATAGATAGAACGGTTGAAATATAAGGATCCCATGAAACAAAAAATAACTTTGGGGACTTGATTCAAAATGGGAGAAAAATATAAGGACTTGCATATTAGTTTTTCCATCTATTGCTTATTACTTCCGATCTTAATTATAAGATCTTGTTTACAGTTTATAAACAAGATCTTTTAATTAGGACCAGATGTAGTATTATAAGTTCCAAAGCATGTATGAATGTTACTATACGTTTATTTTAAATTGTTATTGATTTTCTCTCTCTCTAAGGAAAGGTTATTTTGTTGGGTTTTTCCCAAATATATAATTGTCTACTTGGATATTGCTGCTAATTGTATACTGCTCAAGTATGAAATAAAATATCATGATATAATATTTGCATATTTTAAGAATTAAATATCTGATAACACCCCCAAGGGACTACATTCTGTGCTCTATTTATTAAGAATAAAAGTATGTAGTGCTCATCTTTAATCCTGATCATCCAAATCATACTTGATGGTCCAGATTTAACTTATACTTTGAACAATATTTCTATTTTAATAAATATATAATTTAAATTAAGAATTTTATAATTTCATTTTTAAAAAAATTATAAATTAAAAAATAAAAATAAAATATTGGGATAATCATCACAAATCCTCTTAAAATATTTTAAATTTGTACTGTTTAGTTTGGATTGCGAATGGTCTAAATTTAATCCCATTGCTACGGCAGTATAGGGTGCTCATCATATTGAATGAGGACTTAGATAGAGCACATTCAACAATGAACTTATCCTTTCTAGAAACATGAATGGAATTCAAACCCGCATCCTTATAGAATGGGCAACCAAAAAAAAAAAACTCATGCCCTTCAAAAAAGACTGGAATCATTTTCATTAATTGAACCGACCTTACTTGCTTCGTACATATAAATTTCAATAAAATTACACTCCATAAAATAAATTTTTGTTTCAATTCATTTTTTTAATTCTTGTGTAATTCATTGAACACGAACTTTTGTCAAATAAATTTTTTACTAGACACAAGTATTTTTTTATCAAAAATAATATGTGAAAATTAGTCCTTTTTATTAGTTTCGATTGTGTCCCATTTCGTGTCCCATTTCGTCTTGATATTGTTCTAGTCTCGATCGGAATGGGATGGGACCAAGATGTTTCATTTTTTTTTTAAACATTTTTTTTACATTGTGATTGGGCTTGTTACAATGGATTTTGTTTCTTTTTTTTAAATTTTTTAGTTCTTTGAGCTTAGTCCTCTTAAATAAAAACCCAAATAAAGTATACAAAAAAAACCCAAATAAATAATAATTAATAACATAATAATTCCAATATTCATTTTCACTATTCAAAAAATCATTAACAAACTATAAAAGCTCTAAAATAAATAATGACTATTCAACTACATGTGTTAAAAACCATAAATATAAATATTTTGTATTAAAAATATCTTAAACATTTTTCATTTTTAATATTTAATAATTATAATATGATAAAAAAATAAAAAAATACTACCGATCCTGTCCCACGTCCCAGTCCCAACTTCTGTCCCGTCCTATCTCAATATGATCAGGACTAGGTCAGGATTGGGACGAACCAGCCAGAACAGGTGGACTTTGAACATCCATATTTTTCAATGTACCTGGCTCTATTAATGAATACTCCTCCGGTCCTAATTATAAGACCCAATTGACTTATTTGAGGAGATTAAGGAAGTAAGTTAAGTTGGTTATTTATAATAAATAAGTGTTGTTATTCCTAAAATATCCTTGCTAATTAAGTATATTGGCTAAAACTATCATTATTAGAAGGATTATCTTGGAAAAAAATACATAAATATAAGAGAGAAAATGGATTGGGTCTTATAATTAGGACCAAATAAAAAGTCAAATTGGGTCTTATAATAAGGACCGGAGGAGTACTTTTTATAATATAAGAATTAGAATTACTACAATGCTAAAATAAAGGGTCCTTAAAAAAAAAAAAAAAAAAAACTCACGCTCAGGTCCAGTAATTTGAGGCCCAAATATATAAAGGTCCCTCGAGAGCTACGGTTCGAAAACGAAGCAGCGAAAGAGTGAGAAGAAACGGACCAATCCCAGAGGAGTTGCTTGTTAGGGCTTTCCTTTCGTTCTCCAAGCCAGTGCCGGACTGGAACGCCTTGACCTTGTGCTTCTCTAAACTTGTACACACTGTGTTTGCTTCTGAGAGGAGAGTGAGACTGAGACTGAGAGAGATCGTCGTCTTCGACTTCGCGAAATGGCGCTGGCTTTCGACGAGTTCGGAAGGCCCTTCATAATCCTCAGGGAGCAGGAGCAGAAGACCCGGTTGAGGGGCCTCGACGCTCAGAAAACCAACATTTCGGCCGGCAAAGCTGTTGCTCGCATTCTCAGAACCTCTCTTGGACCCAAAGGCATGGACAAGATGCTTCAGAGCCCCGATGGCGACATCACCATTAGTCAGTTCTTTCCCTTCTCCTTATTTCTCATATTTTCACGTCTCTTAAGTATTGATTCGGCTTAGAGCTAGTAACCTAATACTTTTCTTTACCTTTTTATTGGGTCATTTGGGTTTTGTAATTTCGATATGTAGCAATGACGTCGCCTATTTTTATAATTTTGTAGTTATACGAAATGAGATCGTCACCATTTTATGCTTAGATTTACTTTTTAAGAATGGGCAAATTAATAAAGTATTACCTCTAATTTGATGTCAGAAAACCACAGAGATATTGAGAACATTGGTTCTCGTCTTAGAGCTTCTACTGGCCAAATGACTCACTATCCTTATAATTCGAAGTTGTGTGCTTAATTTGGATTGTTATCCCTGAGAAAGTGTAAGATGAAGTTTTCTGATGTGGCAGTTTAGCTAATTTTGAATAGTCAATATGTAGTGGCAGCGCTCATTCATTTGATGTCATTTAGTTAATAGTAATTACCTAAATTGGTGTCTGCATCCCTCTGTTAGGATGTATGACTGCACTATGCAGACTCAAATGGAAATCCCTTCAAAATTGAATATGACATTTTAGACGTTGATAAAATGGATTGTTTATATTAGGTAAATATTTTTAAATGATGCAAGGTGTGTAACTTTGCTTTCTTATTGTGATTGAGATTCCTGAACAGTGACATTGTGAGTTTACAGCCAATGATGGTGCAACGATCTTGGAGCAGATGGATGTTGACAACCAAATTGCAAAACTGATGGTTGAATTATCTAGAAGTCAGGATTATGAAATTGGTGATGGCACCACGGGAGTTGTTGTATTGGCTGGAGCACTTCTTGAGCAAGCAGAGCGGCTGTTGGAACGAGGAATTCATGCAATTAGGATTGCTGAGGGCTATGAATCTGCATCCCGAATTGCTGTTGAACATTTGGAGCGTGTAGCTCATAAGTTTGAATTTGGACCAACCAATCTGGAGCCTCTGGTTCAAACTTGTATGACTACCCTCTCTTCAAAAATGTGCGTACAGTTCAATTCATTTCATGATACATCATTGAACTATAAATGGAATGCATGTTTCTAAATTATATTAAATTAGTTATATAACTATAAAGCAGCAAGTTTTAATAGTGGAATCAATCATCTTGTTTGCAGTGTCAACCGGTGCAAGCGTAGCTTGGCCGAGATCGCTGTCAAAGCTGTGCTTGCTGTAGCTGATCTAGAGAGAAAAGATGTTAACCTAGATCTAATTAAAGTAGAAGGAAAGGTTGGGGGGAAATTGGAAGATACAGAGCTGATATATGGAATTATTGTAGACAAGGACATGAGCCATCCACAAATGCCAAAGCAAATTGAAAATGCTAAAATTGCTATCCTGACTTGCCCCTTTGAGCCTCCCAAACCAAAGACTAAGCATAAGGTTGATATTGATACAGTGGAGAAGTTCCAAACATTACGGAAGCAAGAACAGCAGTATTTTGATGACATGGTTCAAAAATGCAAGGTAACTTCTTATTACCAATCCCTTGATTTTTCTGCTAATAGTGGGTTTTCACTGATCATGCCTAAGCATCTTATTCTTTATGAATCTTGTGATATGAATGCCTTGTCATCTGGCTTGGGTGGGTATATCAGCTTAGCTGGGTATAAATTCAAAATGGACTACTTTTATATTAATTTTTTGGCTCATCAACTGTAACAATTCTGAACGTTTCCTGCTAGAATTTTTTTGGATCTATGTAAATGTTAACAATTACTCTTTGCAGGATGTAGGTGCAACCCTGGTTATCTGCCAATGGGGTTTTGATGATGAAGCAAATCATCTCTTAATGCACAGGAACTTGCCTGCCGTCAGATGGGTTGGTGGTGTAGAGCTGGAATTGATAGCAATCGCAACAGGTTTGTTTTATTTAAGCTTCTCATGTTTTGGATATATCTTCTTTAAGAAACTGTACTTTGTATATGAATTATGACCATTTCTAGGACATTTATCTCTTGGCCTATGTGGATATGATGAGCTGTTTGTTGATGCAGGAGGAAGAATTGTGCCTAGGTTCCAGGAATTAACTCCAGAAAAGTTGGGAAAGGTATCCTGTCAACCCTCATTTTTCAACAATAATTATTCCCTTCTAGTTGTTGGAGATTGAACTCTTTTTTTTCTTGTATGATTTCAATACCTTTCTCTTTTCCTCTTTTTCCAAGATACTTGTCTAATTGTTATTTTTGCATGTTGTTTTTAATCGCAAATGGGAGGTAAATTAGTTGAAAGTTGTAGGAGATACCTTTTTCCTCAGAAAACTAGTTGGTTGAATCTCTTAGCCGTGTACCGTTTCTTCCTTTTCCTATTTCCATTGTTGGGTAGGCATCTTGTGCATCAAGGACTCTTTCTCTTTACGGATTTTTTTATTTGTGCGCTTTGTTATAATCTACATTAATTTGTGATCTTCTCTTGTATTTAAGGCTGGTATGGTTCGAGAAAAATCATTTGGTACAACAAAAGACCGGATGCTGTATATTGAGCATTGTGCAAATTCAAGGGCAGTGACAATATTTATTCGAGGAGGTGAAGACATGTACCTGTTATCATTTTCCTATCCAATTCAATTGGTTCATATTATATTCCACTATTTTAGTTTTGATTCGCTGTTTAATGAATTGCCTGTTTGGAGAAAACAATTGATATTGAACTGATCAATATTACTATGGGTTTTTAATTTTAAACCTCGTTCATTCTTTGTACATAGGATCTGTATTATTGGCTTTACAATATTCAGTTCATGGGTTGAGGCAGTGAGAGTGCAACTTCTTAAACATACTATTTACTTACGACTGATTAGTTATTTTGGTCTGGCAATCACGACAAACTAACAGAGGCTGTCTATTTTGGCGGCAGGTAATAAAATGATCATAGAGGAGACAAAAAGGAGCCTTCATGATGCCTTGTGTGTAGCTAGAAATCTCATCCGCAACAATTCAATTGTATATGGTGGTGGCTCAGCCGAAATATCCTCTTCTGTTGCTGTGGAGGCAGCTGCGGACAGATATCCTGGAGTAGAACAGGTATTTGGTTATTGTTGTTTTTGCTATGCATGTTGCTGTATTAATTGCTGAAAATTTCCTTTCTCCTGCAGTATGCTATTAGAGCATTTGCCGATGCACTGGACTCTGTCCCAATGGCCCTTGCTGAAAACAGCGGTCTCCAACCTATTGAAACTCTATCTGCTGTGAAGTCTCTGCAAATAAAGGTAAATCGAGCGTTATGATTGCTTTGAGCCCCCCCTGGCTCCGACCAATCCCTGGAGTTTTCGAATATACTGTGGCTTATCTCTGACGCTGCCACCATTTTGCAGGAGAACAATCCCCATTTGGGCATTGATTGCAATGACGTTGGCACTAACGATATGCGGGAGCAAGATGTCTTTGAGACGTTAATTGGGAAGCAACAACAGATTCTGCTTGCGACTCAAGTCGTCAAGATGATACTGAAAATTGATGATGTTATATCCCCATCTCAATACTGATTCCTTTAGTTGTAAACTCTGTTCTGATGGGTTGATTTGGTTTCTAGAGCAAGAAATTAACCATATGGTTCCCCTGATTAAATTTGTATCATGGATTTTGGCTTGGCTTTGTGTTGGAGATGAATGGCCTTTTGTTTTGTTGGACGATCCTATTCAAGTCTTGAAAAAATTATGGATTAATTTATTGTACTTTTGAGCTTGTAACAGTGGGCAGGAGAGAAAATGAAGTGGGGACCTGTTTTTGTTGCTCTTGCGTATTCCTATTTGCCATCTAGTGCATTAAGGGAAGGACTCGCAGAGTTTTGGTTCCACATTATCTCGTAGCTGTTGGATTAGTGCTTTGTACTACCTCCGGAGGTTTTTAATCTAATTTGATTCATTCGGAGGGATTAAAAAAGTTAGAAAATGGTTATATTTATCTTTTTTCTCTAAACTAATTTGTTGCTTTTTTAAATTGATATATAATTTAATGATACATGATAGTACTTAAAAAAGATTACGTAACATACGTTATAATTAAACAATTAATAATTTTAATTTTTTTAAATTAGTCAATTGAGTTTTATATTAACTTGTTAAGGACCGGAGGTAGTGGCACATTTTTTGGGATTTGATTTGGAGTTGAGATCTAATTGTGTGATTTTATTTTCTATATATTCAAAAAACTGCGTTGACAAAAATGTGCATGGGAGGGGAAAATACGATGACTGGATCAACGATACCGGATCGGTGGATCCCACTTGTACAGCTTGGAAACTTATTTACTCCTCCGGTCCTAATTATAAGACCCAATTGATTTATTTGAGGAGATTAAGGAAGTAAGTTAAGTTGGTTATTTATAATAAATAAGTGTTGTCATTCCTAAAATATCCTTGCTAATTAAGTATATTGGCTAAAACTATCATTATTAGAAGGATTATCTTGGAAAAAAATGCATAAATATAAGAGACAAAATGGATTGGGTCTTATAATTAGGACCAAATAAAAAGTCAAATTGAATCTTATAATAAGGACCGGAGGAGTATTTTTTAAATAATACTCCTCCGACAAGTTAGACAAGATTGGAATGGGCGGGGGAACATGTGTTGATGTACCAGATCGGCTAATGCTCTCAGGTTGATGCGATGTATTTCCCCAGTTAACTGAAGACTTAATTATTGGTATATTGCTCGGTCTAGCACGGATTGAAATAGGAGCTGGTTCGATAAGAAGCTTTTGAAAACGCAGTGCACCAGCTAAATAAGAAACGTGATGAATAGAGGTTAAAAAAAAAAAAACTTAAACTAGAAAATTGGCCTTATATTTAGGATTGGAGGAATACTTAATGTTTTGAAGTGAAAATAATAATTTATTTTAATATAATTTATTGATTTGATTTTTTTTTTTCGTAATTATGCATATATATTAGTATTAGCGTAAAAAGTCTGTCAAGTTGGAAAAATGTAAAAATTTTTAAATATTGAATAATTTTTTCAATTCTTAATGGATTAATAATTTTTTTTCATTTTATGAATTCATACTATTGTTTTTAGATATTCAGTGGACAAAAATTCAAGTCATGAATTCATTAATCTAATTTATGATCATATTTAAAATATAGCCACCTTCAGACGATTAATAATCAAATTTACACTTGAATTTCAAGTTTCATTAGAGTCAAGAGTCAATCCCTTTCATTCTTGATGATAAAAAAATGTTCTAAATATAGAAATTTAAATATAAACATTAAATAATTAATTCAAAGATATTCCTTTGTACTAAAAACTACCCCTATTTTATTGGGAAAAAACTATCCCTACTGATGTAAAATTGATAAAAATAATTAGGAGAACATTATAAATTTGAGAGAAAAAATAAATTAATATCAAGACTAAAATAAATCTTCAACTAAGTATCTCATTTAAGATCAAAGGAAATATTATTTGCTTAGTTATATTTTTCTCACGGCTCTCTCAACTCACATGTATCTGTATTTTAGTTCAACCTGTCTTTGCACAAGGAGAGACAAACTTCTATACAAATAATCAAAACTCAGGATATATCCGGTTCAGTTGCTATTGAGGTTATGGAAATTTCTTATTGTGCAAGCAACATTAGTCTTGAAGACCACAATGAGAATAAAAGGCCAATTTTAACCAAATTGCTGCTAAGCAAACGATCTACAAAAATCAGCATGAAACAACTAGGCAATAAATGAAGCATAAACAATGTATCAACTAATCAATGTTTGAACTATCAACTAGTCAAAGCCTAGGAGCGATGATATCAACAAGCATATTGCAACACCATGAGGCCCTTGTTAGCTGTTTACCCTACCATACACCTTCATGATGCTTTCTTTGATTCCCTATTTACAGAATACACAGAAGAAACTTAAACACTAAATGCAACATCATGCATTGAGACCATAAATTAGTGGATAGAATATAATACACAGATGATTGATCAACCGAGATCAACATCAACCCTCTCTGGTTTTCCCCTCTCGGTCTGGTTCGCCGCGAGCTCAATTCCCAGCTGTCCTTTGTCCCCAGCGCCAAAGGCGTACAGCTTACCCGATTCGGTCAGGGCAAATGTATGAGCATTCCAGTATATAGAGTTGGTCAGGCTGATCTGAACCACCCTCTCATTAGCCTGCTTCAGTGAAGTTACAAGCTCTGGACTTAGAACATTTGAGTGCCCGTTGCCCTGTGCATGTATAAACATAACATAGATGAATGACTTAATAGAATCAATATATTCTTAGTGAATAAGTAACATAAGTTACAATAGAATGTGCCAGGAGTAAATATCCAATATTAAAATCTGGTTTTAGAAATACGATAAAAATATCCAGTCTAAAACAAACTTAGCTATAATGTGTAATGTGGCCATGAAAATAGGTTGATTATATGTGAGATTTCCGCCTCCCAAGATTGAGTTTTCTCACCATTAAGTCTACCTTGAGATTCTCACTCTTAAGTGTTCACTCAATAATGAAGTGAGAATCTCAAAAGTGGATCTCATGTTGAGAGGGGAAGCTTAACCTCTTGAAAGGTAAAGCTCTCAAAAGAATCATCCAAGAAAATAAGAAAAAGTGGAAAAAGCAAAACAGACCTGTCCATCATCATTTCCGGTGTTATGTCCCAGACTAGAAGATTCTCCACAACCAAATGAATACACATCACCATTGCCAGACACTACAAAGGTTGTGTAATCTCCAGTAGCAACGTGAACTGCTTTGACATTGCTCAATGCTTCCACCACCTTTGGCACTGATTCACAATCTTCATTACCATGACCCAAGCAGCCATAGCGCCCCCATCCCCACGTGCAAACACGGCCATCCTGCCCCACTACTGCAGCATGCCACGCACCAGCTGCAACCACCATGGGTTGAAGGTTTAAATTCTGGAACTGTTCAATCAAACGAGGATACTTCTCATCAGTTCTTGAACCGTGTCCAAGCTTTCCACCTAAGCCACACCCAACTGAGTATACTGACCTGTTATGAATTCAACAGAGAATCATAAGATCAGTAAAACTCAGTTATAAATAATAACAATGACCTAGACTACATGAACACAAAAAAAACTAATAGATTTAAGGATAACGAAGCTAATTTTGACAGCCAATGTAAGGAGTCACAGTTGGAGCTCACATTCCACTGGGCTGACATGCCAGACAAAGTAGGTAGCAGTATCCAGCAGCTATTTGCACCACCGGTATGTCTTCAAGGGCTCCTAACAAGGGATGAGGTTGCTTATCATTTAGATCAGTATGATGACCAAGTCTCCCGTCACTACCCCAAGAAAATGTATAAACCCTGCCCTCTCTTGACAACACAGCTGTGAAGAAATTTCCAATTGCAGCCTGAACCACAAATATGTTCTTCAAAGACTCAACTAACGAGGGAGTGGTGACAATCTTTGGTCCTTGAGCTCCAGTCTCAGCTTCCCCAAAAGAGTCTTTCCCAACGGCATATACCTGCCCAGAATCACTGATCAACATAGTCCTCCCAGCCCCTGCAGCTGCTTGTATAATTCGAATTCCTTCCAGAGATCTGCAACATAATGAAGCTCTGTAAACATTTAATCAACTATTCATCTTCCAATTAAGCTGCAATGATTTAGATATGGCCAAACGAACTCCTGATAGGGCAAGGTCGCCATTGCTCTTCAGTGGTACCATGACCAAGTTGTCCTGAATCATTGGAACCAAATGAATAAACAACCCCTTTTGATGTCACAGCAACACTATGACCAGGACCTGCTACTGCCTGTGATTTCTCCTCCTACTACATGCTTCTCCTGCAAGCAAATACCTCAAAACCAGTTTCCAAGAACCCCCACATATTTGCTTCAATTCTTGCTTCTGTTCTGTTGTCATTGGCCCAAAAATGGCTCTCTTTTGGCACATGTCCAGAGCAGCAAGCTCTGACAGGGACAAACTGAAGTCGGGAGTAAAGTTTGCAGGCTGTCTAAAGAAGGAGCATGTTGCCTGCAGCAGCAGTAGCAGCAGCCACATTCAAAACGGAACCAACATTCTTAATATTAGTACCACCATTCAAGAACAACTTCACAATTGAAATGCAGACAAGTATAGTGCTTGCCTCTAAACTAGCAAGATCTTGAGGATCCAAATTACACGTTGTGAGGACATGAAGCACAATGGAGGGATTAGCAGACAAGGGGAATTCTCCTGGACTAGAGTCCCCAAAGCAATGGCGTTGTTGCCGTTCAAATGCTGGTAGAGGTGTTGCAACAATGGCAGTAATTGGCTGCTCAGGAATGTTATGGTATTGAATAGTAGGGGTTCCGCTAGTTGTGGCATCCATGGGCACTGCTGATCTTAGGCAGCGCCCAAACTTTGCAGAAGAAAAGGTCTAAACTTCTGGGAATTACGAAAATATGTGCAAATTTTGTTACTACATTAATTTCTCAGTTAGTCCAATTATAGCATCTAAAACTCTAGATATTCTTCCAACTTGCATAAATGTGTACCTCAAAATACAATTGACTAGCAAGTCTCAGGTCTCAAACCTACAAAGAGAAACATGCTAATAGAAACTCATTATGTGACACAAACGTCAAAAAGAGAGGGGAGGGAAAAAAAAAAAAGACACACACACACAGAAGAAACATAGAAAATTTCACCATCTAGCAATTACATAATGAATTTAAAGCACCAGATGGCATACACTTAGACCAGTGAATCGGAGAACCAGAAAGCCATATCATCCAACCAAAACCAATTGAAAAATCGGAGCCAG